ATCCTATATTATTTATATGCTGAGCCTAGTTCCTCCATATGTAAATGGAATAATAACAAGTAATTTACATTTTATTTTTAGGCTTATGTGATTCATGTGTTATACTCTATTCATAAAGGCACAATAAAAGGAAGTTCTATTTCAAAAAACAAGGAATCAAAATGCATCACATATGGGTACAAATTTCCTATAATGAATAGGTCTTATGTATATCTAAAATATATCAATAAATTTAATTAAAAATAGTAGTCAACAAAGAGATCATATGAAAACTTTTGGAAGTGGTGTATATATTTATGCCACAGATAATGATAATGATTTTACTGTTACATATTTATCTCCAAACTGATTTTGTACATTAAATATACCATTTATTATGTATCAAGTATAGTGTCTTTAAAAGCAAAAAGAGAAAATAAAAAGACTTTGAATCTGAAGAAAAAATTCTGCTCTTTGAAACACACTGTGGAAAATAAAGAAACATTTATGTGGAAAATAAAGAAACATTGGAGGAAATATTTGTGTAAGTCATAGCTCATAAAGGATGGTTATCCAACATATACAAAGAATTCTTAAAACTTTATGTTTAAAACAAACATAGGAAAGAATAGGCCAAAGATCCTAACAGACACCTCACTGAACAAGACACATAGATGGGAAATGAGAATATGAAAAGATGTTCCACATACATAAACAGAGAAATAAAAACTCAGATACCACTACAAAATCAGAATGAGTAAACATGAAAATACATGAACACAGACATAGCCCCCTCTATAATTATCCACTGCTGATAATTATTACTTAGAGGAAGTAAAGCACACCCTTGAGATCCTGTAGAGAAAATGTTCTGAAATTGGCACCAGCATCTGAAGAGGAGGCTTCAGCAGTCCCTGACCCGTTAGAGTTAGCTCTGCTGTGATTCCTAGTCTACTTGCTCTGCTTAGAGAAATCACAGAGCAAACTCCCTTGATAATGAGCATATCACAACTCTCTATCTTACAAGGACCCCAGAGGCCCACAGAGCATAAGCTCACCCATGAGAAGCACCTAGATTTCCATACTCAAGAAAGGCCTTGCCTGTTGAGCCAACACATTTCTGTCTGCTGAGACAGGAGTTGGGGAAATAGCATTAGGCTGGAGACCAGGGGTTAGGAAGGCAATAGGGGCATGGGGCCAGAGCTGCGTTACCCGCTGAACAGTGAGTGCGTTAGTTACTCTCTCATTTCCTGCTCCTCTCTTTGTTACTCAGCCTAGAGTTTCAGGAAGAAGCAGGAGAGGGCTGAATTTGGGCTGAGAAGTAACCGTGGAAGTAATTTGCTGCTTTTGTATAGAAGATTAGCCTCTGGAGAGATTTGGAAACAGAAAATCCTCTGGATATGGAGGTGAGCTTCAGGAAGCTGGCCACCACTTGGTCACTTCAGCCAGTCTTGCCTTTACTCTTTCCTACTTGCAAAGTTGTTGGATCCAACTAGAACCTGCTTCTACTTTTTGATTTGATGTCCATTTACGTTAACCTCTAGGCCATCAATATATGTTTTAGAGGAAACAAAATCACCAGTAGGAAAAAAAAAACCTTCTGTATGACCATCCTTACACACTCAGAGTTTGCTTTTGGAACGATTCTCCCTGATTCACACATCCAGGACTGTCTTCCTTTCTTCTAGTGATCAATATATGTTATCCTCACATCTGTGACCTGGAGCATCCAAACTTACTTAACCCTACTCTTCAGTAATTATGTTTTGCCTTCTAAATTCCCCCAGGCACTCATTTCATGAATGACTTAGTTTTGCACACTGTGTGATTTGACAACCTATTTTAAGACATGGTATCTTGGTCTCTGTTCATAAAACTTCACATAGAAGATTGTGAACAGAACAAATCAGAACTGTATTTTCTGTTTTAACTCAGGCCAATGTTTAGTTGCTCCCACAACTAACCACCAGACATACCCCTCTCTTCAATACCAATTTCTTCCATCTTAGTGTGACCAGTCCATCATGGGTATTCAAATGTTCAAATCCCAAAGACTTCCCCACCAAAAAAATAGGTAATCTTTCTCACAACTACATGGATGATTCTTAATGGGATAAGAAATTTTTTATTTTAAAAAGAGAAAACAATAAAAACAATGATACAAAATTTCAAAATGATATAAAATTAACAATGGGTATGTATTGTTATCTTCAAAGTAGTTGCTCAGATTACAAGATATAGACACGAAAAATTGATTAAGCAATGTAAGCACGAATAATTCTTTTCAATAAGCTAATAGAGATTAGCAGAAAAATTATCTTGTCTATCTTGGATGTGTGTATATGTATATATGTGTGTATATATAAACAGAAAACTTTTAAAGTAATTATTTTAGAGAGGAAAGAATAATTCATGCAGAAAATTATCATAGTGAAAAAACATTGTGCAAACCTGAGAATACCTGAGACAATTATAATGAAGAAAGGCTTCTTTTGGCTCACGGTTTGGGAGACCCCAGTCCATGTTCAAAGGAGGTATAGCATAAAGATCAAGAAAATGACATGATTTTGACTTAGCATGGGTTTAAATCCTGGTTACACTCAGGTGCTTCATGACTTTGAATCAATCACTTCACCTCTCCAAATCTCACAGTCTTATGTATGAAATGACAATAATAACATCATATACCTTGTAATCCTTTGCTTCAACATTTAATAAGATGCTTAGCATATGACTGATATTAATTTTCAATAAATATTATTACCCTTAGATACTGATTCACCCAGATCATTCAATATAGAAACACATAGTCTTTCTCAAAAATTCTTGTAAAGTCATAAAAAATTACTCTGACGATGAGGTCATGAAGGGCATGACATTTTAAGCAAGTAAACTAACTAACTTTGGAATCATCCATTAATAGCAGATAAAGGAAAACCACCTTTGGGACAGTAAACAACACTTGTGCTGTGTCTTTACAATATGCTTGCTGCTTTTCTAAGTCCAAAAGCGTCATGATAATCTCATGAGATTTTATAGCAATTGTAGATATTTGTGTGCAATTTTACACATAAAGAGATCAAAATTTAAAGATGTTTATTAAATTACGAGGAAATAGTAGTCATTTAATTTTTAAATAGATGAATATGTGTGACGTAGTCAGTGTTTTGTAATAACAAGAGAATCCCTGAGGCAATTAGAATGAAGCAAGGCTTCTCTTGGCTCACGGTTTGGGAGACCCCAGTCCATGTTCAATAGGTTCCATTACTTTGGGTCTCTGGTCATCAGCATATGATACAGAGAGATGTGTGGAGAAATCACTCAACTCATGAGCCAGGAGGCCAAAAGAAGAGTAAGAGGAAGACCTCAGTCCTTTGAGGGGACATTCCTAAAGGCCTAAGGATGTTCTACCAGATCCCACCACCTGAAAGGTCCTCCATTTTCCAATCTGACATCCCAGACACCAAACCTTCAGCACATAGGCCTTTGGGCACTCTTCATATAACCATAGCAGTGTAAATAGTTGATGCTTGTAAAGTGTGGCAGTGCTAGTGCAAGAGGCCCAATTATAGTGTAAAAGATCACGCTGCCTCTAAAGCAATCATTTTAATATTTTGGGAACAGATATGTTCATTGGAATAACTTCTGTAGCAGCCAAAACTATGTAAGTAAAAAATGTTAGAAAACTTGAAATATTCTATGTAAAATGTCTGCTCACAAGGCACATAGGACTATGTTGACTTTTAAAATGCAGTTACCTTTTGCTGACACACGAGGTGACACAGCAGAGCTTTCTGTAGTTAAAGAGATGGAGTTCCGTCTGATATCCATCACTAGGTGCCTAAATAAAACTGAAGAAAAACATATAAACAGAAACATGTTTCTCAAATATATATTTTAGATAAATACACTATGAATTGGAAAATTATAAATTAAATACTCACAAATGGATGCCCACCCTGTACAATGGAAATTCAGACAGGAAACTTTTATAAATTATAGTTACAAAAAAGACATGTAAAAACTTAATGATTTCATGCCACGCTCAGTGAAGGTGAACCACGCAATCTTGTTTGAGGAGGAAAACCAACTGCCACCCTGGCCTCCACATTCCTCTCAGATATTCTCAGCTGGTTGCTTTGATAAAGTATCATTTTTCTCCAAGACAATGCAAAGCTGAATTTCACCTTGACAATCTGAACTTGATTTGATAAGGAATGTGTGCCCTGTGACCTAACTTGAAAGTATCCCAAGCTTACTCCATATCAATGTCCATTCCCTTCTACGAATTTATTTTGCTCACAAAATTCCTTCCTTCCTAATATTATCCTATATATTTTGTTTATTAATGATTTATCACTTTAATTTTATTATTGCTTTGTCCTCAGCAGAGGAATACTACTTTTCCAGCAATTTTGAAGATAACAAGAGGCATTATGGCAGTCATTGCTAATTTCCTATTATCCTGTTTTGGAGTCCTGTACCACTTTCAGTGTTTTGTTTTAATTAGCTGTATTCTATTTTGTTTTGTTTTGTTAGGTTTTATTCTCTTTAAAATAAAAAAGTCCATATTGTTCCCGATGTGCCTATAGAATAATGACTATAGGAGGTAGGAATGGGGAGGATAAGAATTAAGAGAGTTTGGATTTGATCAGGGCACCTGTGTGCCTGTATTAAAATATCATGCTGAAAGCTAACCAATATGGTCAATGAATACATATTAATAAAAACCAAAATATTAAAAATCTGTAAAAAATATAATTCAGAGAGGTCCACCTGTAACAATGTTAAAGGAGATATTTCCTTTTGTCCTTTCAGCTTTCAATATAAATCTCTTGATATGCCCACAGAGTTGGCTGGGAGAAGCACATCAAGAACCCAAAATTAACAATGGACCCTGCACAGCAGCTAATTGTGATCAAAGAAAAGAAATAGAAATTTGATGGAGGTTCCATCATATGAGTTTTAGAACTGAAGTACATTCAATAACACTACTCATACAGGACCAAGTCAATGGAAAGAGTCAACCAAACCAACAGTGTCTCTCAGTTCATTCTCCTGGGACTTACCTCTCGGGCTGAGGACCAAAGGCCACTCTTCATTCTCTTCCTCACCATTTACCTGATCACCATATTAGAGAAACTGCTCATCATCCTGGCCATCCGCTTTGATGCCCATCTCCAGATCTCCATGTATTTTTTCTTAAATTTTTGTTGTTCTCTGATATTTGCTTCACAACAACCATCATCCCCAAATGCTGGAGAACTTTCTCTCAGAAAGGAAAGTCATCTCTTATGCTGGCTGTCTGACACAAATGTATTTTATACATGCCTTGGGCAACAGTGACAGCTTCCTTCTGGCAGTCATGGCCTTTGACCGCTATGTGGCCATCTGTCACCCCTTCGACTACATCACCACCATGAGCCAGTGCTGCTGTGCCCTGCTGGCAGTCTTCTCCTGCACATTTCCTCACCTCCACTCTCTCCTGCACACACTGCTGCTGAATCTTCTCATCTTCTGTGACTCCAACGTTATCCACCACTTTCTCTGTGACATCAGTCCCCTGATGAAATTGTCCTGCTCCCCCACCTTTGTCAATGAAATTGTAATGATAACAGAAGGAGCTGTTGTTTTGGAGACCCCCTTCCTATGCATCACTTTGTCTTATATACAAATCCTCATCACAGTTCTCAAGATTCCCTCTGCTTCTGGGAAGCACAAAGCCTTCTCTACATGTGGTGTTCATCTCATTGTGGTTGTACTCTTTTATGGCAGCATCTTCTATGTGTATTTGCATCCCGTGTCCACTTACACTGTCAAGGACCACATAGCAATAGTAGTCTACACAGTTTTGTCCTCCACGCTAAATCTTTTATCTGCAGTCTGAGAAATAAAGACCTGAAACAGTGCTTAGGGAAACTCATGAACAGATAGAGATTCTAGGCTGCACCCTCTTGACAATCTCACTGGTGGAATCTGCTTCCCTCAGGCCTGGTTTCTACTAGTTCTTAGTGAACAATCAAGCTGTTGAAATCCATGTGCAACAAGACTATTGCGAGCAGTGACATCCACTGATGACGGTCAGTCAGTCAGCCTTATATCTACTTAAATCATGGCTCTCTTACATCTATTCCTTTTCTTTCTTAAGAGAATTCATCACATTCTCCATACTCCCATCTTTTAAATACTGCTTGAAGATAACTCTTTCCCCATAAATATTTCATAACAAAATCTCTTTTTGCTTATCAAGACTGATACTGCACCTTCATATTTGAATATATCAGTGATACATAATTTGTAGTTGTTGAAGATTTTGCAAACATTTGAAGATGCAAAGAATGGAGCGACGAGACATAGGATAAATATAATTTCATATTTCATTGATTTCCTCATTTTAATGATTATTATGTCTTTATTTTCTGTTATTTAAAAATCATGTCTACAAGGCAGGGTTCCCTGTACAGAGACAATGGTCCAGATGGAATGAAACCCAAAGGCATCAACAAGAGTCATTGGAATGGGACTGTTGACAGCTCGATGACGTGTACCTCTCAGAGGCATTGCTCTGTGGCATCTATACCTATGGTTCTGTGAAGTCCTGTGCCATCAAGCAGAGAGCCATTCTTCCTTGTTACAATATGATTGCTCAAGCCCAGGCTGGGACTGGGAAAGTGGCTGCACTTGTGGTATCAATTCTGCAACAGATTGAGTTAGATCTAAAGGCTACCCAGGCTTTGGTTCTGGATCCACCACAAAAACCACCTCAACAGATAAAAAATGTGGTCTTGGTATTAGGTGATTACAAGGGTGACATGTCATGCCTGTATTGGGGGAAGCAGTGTGTGTGCTGAGGTACAGAAACACAGGTCGAAGCTCTCCATATCATTGTGGGAACCCCGGCTGCATGTTTGATATGCTTAACTAGAGATACTTGTCTCCCAAATACATCAAAATGTTTGTGTTAGGAGAAGATGATGAAATGTTGAGCCGTGGATTCAAGGATTAGATTTAGGACATATTCCAAAAACTCAACAACACCCAGGTAGTTTTGTCCTAATGTGCCAGAGGTGACCAAGAAGTTCATGAGGGGCCCCATCTCGGTTCTCATCAAGAAAGAAGAGTTGACAGTGGAGGGTACCCACCAATTCTACATCACTGTGGAAAGAGAGGAATGGAAGCTGAATACGTAGTGTGACTTGTATGAGACCTTGACCATCACCCAGGCAGTCATCTTTATAAGACCCTAAGGAAGGCTGATTGGCTCATTAACAGGAGGTAAGCCCGAGACTTCACTGTCTCTGCCATGCAAGGAAATATGGACCAAAAGGAACGCGATGTGATCATGAAGGAGCTCCAGCCTGGTTCCAGCAGAGTATTGATTAGCACTGACTTGCTGGCCAGTGCTAGCAGGTTTCTTCAGTTATCAACTATGATCTTCCCACAAACAAGCAAAACTACATCCACATAATCAGTCGTGGAGGCTGATTTGGCCGTAAGGGTGTAGCTATTAACGTGGTGACAGATGAAGACAAAGAGACTCTTGGAGACAATGAGACTTTCTATAACACCTCCAGTCAAGTGATGTCCCTCAGTGTTTCTGACCTCATCCAAGTGGGTTTGTTCTGCTGTCTAACCCCAACCAGAGGTCTACCTTTGGGAGGCCAAGGAGCAGCTGGAGGGTACAGGGAAGGAAGCCAAGGGGTGGATATGTTGTCAAGTGTTTACTTGTTCCTTTTTTTTCCCTTTGAATAAATGTCATTTTGAGGCAAAAAATATATTGCTTAAACCTTATGTTTGTGCATCATTCTTCCCTTTTTCTCTTTATTCTTCTGTATTATACTAATGTGATTTTTCTTATACTTTAACAGAAAATTCTAAAACTTCAGTGGAAAGAACAAGAATCAGAAATGGTAACATGGAAATTATCCATTCTAAAAAGAGTGGTTTCAATCTTCCTTCCCTTCTAAACCTTTCTTTGCACCTAAACTATATGTTTAAAAATAAGTTATTTAACACTTTATTCTAGAAACTCTCACTCTTTGGATTGTGCCCTACAGAAATATCATAATCATGTATTGATTATGTATATACCCAATATATTATAAATGTGTACTGAACACTGAGATATATATGCATATATCCAATGATCTTGCACAAATCTCAGCATATAATTGGTAAAAATGATGGTAATCTAAAATATTACCAATCAATAGATGGAGAAATGTGTTATATCCATCTCATAGAGTAATCATATACAACACATTCACACACTCCCCTAAATAACTCTAATGTTGCCTTTTTAAAAACCATTAAGCAAGAAAATCAAAATGTGAACAAATATGAAAGTAGGACACCGCTGCATCAAAAACACCGTGGAATGATCATACATGTGCAAACACTAGAATAAGAGTGACAGTACAAGTGATGACAGAAACAAGGACTGCCATATTTATAGCATTTCTCACATAATATTTGTTTGTTTAGATAAGTATTTATTGCCAATGAATTTAAAACTTTAATAAATAATATGAAAATATAATAATGAAGAGCTTTGAAAATGATCATTTGAAGAGACACTTTCTGAAGGTTGTATATCTGAAAATATATTTAGTACTTTAACTTAGGTAAGCGAACTGATAATCTGGTTGAATATGGCATTCTTTCTTTTTAGAGCTTTAAAAAGTGCACCTACATTATCCTGCTGCATCCAGTATTCCCAGTGACAAGTTGGATTGTAATGTGTGTTCCTTGGCAAGGACCCATCCTCCTCTCTACCTGTCCTACACCAAGCATGGCTGAGCTTCTGCAAATCTGGATTTTACCAAAGGTACCACAAGTCTTAGTTTAGGAGCCTAGTCATAGCTCTTGACTCTGCTGGTTTTTGAGGGGAGGCAGGAACAAATATTTAACAGGAGATGATTTTTTAAAAACTATAGTCAAAAAATAGAAAAAAACTCAAAAAACAAAAACCTGGATTAAATAGTTTTCTTAAACTGACACCCAAAAACAAAAATTGTAACTTATAAAGTGAAGAAAAAGTGAACTTCACCAAAAATTAAAAGTTACCCTGTAAAGGATCCTTTTCTGAGATGAAAAGAGAACCTAAAGACAGGAAGAAATATTTGCATATCACATACATGGCAAAGAACTAATGTTTACAGTACACAGGAAACTCTCAAAACAAAATGGTAAGAAAGAAAACAATCCTGGGGCTGGGGATTTAGCTCAGCGGCATAAGCGCCTGCCTTGCAAGCAGGCAGTCGTGAGTTCGATCCCTGGTACTGATAAAAAGAAAAAGACAAAAAAAAAAAAAAGAAAGAAAGAAAGAAAGAAAACAATCCAGTGGTAAAATGAGCATATAACATGAAGGGATTTCACATCAAAGAAGACACATAGCTGGCAAATGAAAACACAAAAGATAGTAAACATCATTAGCTACCTGGGAAATGCAAGATAAAATGACAATGAGATTTAACTGCATAATTATCTGAATGGACAACATAAAAAATACTGACATGCCAGCTGTTTTTGAGGATGCAGAGAAACTGCTAGTGGGAGCAAAATCGTATAGGAACCCAGAAAAGCAATTTAAAAATCTCATTTAGTTGAACAAATTATGCAATACAGTTATAACTCAGAAATTGCATTTATTCCAAAGACCTAAAGACTTTATGTTCACACAAAAACGTGCAAATATGCAGATTTTATAGCTACTCAGAAACATCAAATTTGTTTTTATTGACCTTTGCTTTGGTACTAGAAATTGCAGAAATATATAAAGGCCAACTAATTTAATTCCAAAGCCAGGCTGTGTTCTTTGCTTTCCCTAGTTGTCTCAGTGATTCCTGTCCTTCGTATCTAAGGAGGTCAGGGCAGAATGGTCAAAGAGCACTGCATACAGGGACCCAATCATCTTCCTCGGAAAACAAGATCTGTTGTAGAACAGCAAAAGATGTATCTTCTTTTTTAAAACAAAATTGGACACATGAACTTGATCTTGAAATTTCAGATTTATCATTTATATATTTTTATCACTGTAAGGTATCTTCCAATCAATGTAATATCTTTGTGTCAATACTCAAATGTAAAACATCTACAGGCTTTCCAATGTGTAGCTTTAAAGCAAAAAACAATTACTTTTAATTCCACTGAAAAAGGTAGCCATTGTAAACCTCTGTAACTGGTGTTATAACACCAATTTTAAGTTTGATTTTTATTACATTATTGCTTTTAAAATGGACTACTCACATAATTTATAATTTTTATTTTTAAAAATACTTTATTAAAGAATTCAGAGAATGAATCATGAACTGAGTACACAATTGTCACAGAGTAGCCATTTTAAAATACTGATTTGCTACTACCTATATACTGTAACAAAAGAGGACTTTTATGTGAAAGAAATGAAATAGTAAGGAAATACCATAACACATCTACTAATAATTCTTATCTTTTATTGTCATTATGCAGCATTAGCCTTGCACATGCTATCATTCTTATTGCCATGATCACCAGAACTCACTAAATTAGAAAGAGAAAAAAAATATGAATCAGACTTAACTGCTTTGAACAAAATATTTACATATTAAGCCACGGTGTTACAAATCTACCACAAAGAACTTATGTGAGGAACAATTAGGAATATTGTAGGTAGTTACTGAATATTTCTCTTCTTATCCACACACCTCATTGCATGCCTGCCCCCTCTGGTTAGGAATGCTCTTTGCAAGCTCCTGAGGTCATAGGCCTGAATTCATGAAGGTAACATTCTGGTCTGGGCAATAAGGAGCATGTCATGCTATTCAGCTCCTAGTAATGGTTGTCTTACTGATGTCAGGTAAGCATGTAAAGCAGAACTTCTCATTCCATAATCTGACAAAGGAGTGAAATATCCTTTTAATTATATTTCAACTTCAAAATCACTAAAGTAGTGAGAACAGGGGTTGTCCACAGCACCAAGATTAGGGATCATGGTCATGGTAGGGAGAATGTTTTACCACTGCTGAAAAGTTTACCCAAAGCATCCTTCATGTCTTTATTCCTCAAGCTATAGATGAATGGGTTTAGCATAGGAATAATCACATTATAGAGAATGGAAGCCCGACTTTCTTTCTCTGTAGAGTGAGCTGAGGGGGGGAGTAGATACACACCCATAAGTGACCCATAAAAGAGAAGAACCACCGTGAGATGAGAACCACAGGTAGAGAAAGCCTTCCACCGCCCTCCAGGAGAGGAGATGCCAAACACAGTCCAGAAAATACGGACATAGGAGAAGACAATCAGCATGAGGGGCAGAGTGAGGAAGATCAAGCCCATGATGATGATCATCAGCTCGTTAATGTGGGTGTCGGAGCAAGCAAGCTTCAGTAGAGCTCTGGGGTCACAGTAGAAGTGGTGGATTACAATGTAGCCACAGAAAGTCACACGAGTTAGCAACAGTGTGTGCACAAGGGCAGGACAATTGGTTAGCAACAAACAGATAACTAACATTAGTACACAGAGTTGAGGACTCATGGCTGTGTTATAATGAAGTGGCCGGCAGATAGCCACAAAACGGTCATATGCCATCACAGCCAGGAGGCAGTTGTCAAGACCACCAAACAAAAGTAGGAAATATAACTGTGTAAGGCACCCAGGGTAGGAGATGGTCTGACTCTGGGTATGAATGTTGACCAGCATTCTGGGGATTGAAGCTGAACTGAAGCAGGCATCTGTTAATGATAGATTGGCCAGAAAGAAGTACATGGGCGTATGGAGGTGTGGGTCAGTGCAGATGGCCAGGAAGATGAGCAGGTTTCCAGCCATGGTGATCAGGTACATGCCCAGGAAGGTGCCAAACAGAAGAGGCTGGTCCTCTGGTCGCTCAGAGAATCCTACCAGGAGGAAGTCTGACGCAGGGGTTTGGTTCAGTTGGTTTGGTTTTCCCATCTTTTGTAGTTCTTGTTACCTGTATAAATAAAACCTATCCATGTGTCAATAAATAACTATTGGATCAAATTATAGATACATGTCTGAATGGCCAGAACTGTGTCGGTAGGGGAAATATATGGTCTAAATCCATGCAAACTTCTGGGTCTCACTGAAGATGCCCATGTCACCTTCACAGAACAGTTAAAAGTGTATATGTTAGGACAAATTATATCGATAAGAATGAAAAGAGGGGGAACCCATGGGAGAGAAGGGGCACAGAATATGAAGAGTGAAAAAATAAACCCTAACATGTACATGTAACCACTCCCAAGACAATTACAGACTGCATTAATTGAAAACATATAATAATAATATTTTAAAGTATTGTGAAAAATACTAATACTGGATTATATCCATTCAAACGAATATGCTCTCTATGCTATAACAGCATACAGAGAAAAGATAGCACTTTGACCAGAGAGGTCAGGGTAAAATATTTGGAAGAAGAGGAAATTTAACATAGATTTCACGGCAAGATTACAAGAGTGGCTTATGAGTCTGCATTAAAAAGAGCTGCATGGTCTTTATTACTGTCTTCCTCTCATTCCCAGCACACACACACACACACACACACACACACACACACACACACACACACACCACACTTCATGGCCTTCTATGTGAGGGCTGAAAATGTCTCTGAAGATGGGCTCCTCTTCACTTGTCCCTGATCTCCAGAGCTGTCTCTTCATTCAGGCCAGTCCTGACCTTTTCCATAACTGGGAGCACTGCACATCTGGGCTGAGGTTGGGTGTTTGTTATATCCCACTCTCCCTCCACAAATAGGACACTCCCTCCTTCACTCTCTACCCTTGTCCTCCTCCCTTTTCACCTCTCTTTTTAAAACTGCTCTGGGAACTGGTATTTAGACCCTCTGTGTATTGATGCCTGTGCTTCTACTACATGTCTCTGATATTTCATTTTATCAGAGGAACACAGTGAAAGACATTAATGCTTGATTTTCTTAGCTGAAAATAAATGATTTTCTCTCCTAGGATTTAGAACAAGCTGGTATGAGGTGTCACCTTATCAGGTCTTTGAAAGGTCTTTTCATGTTTTAGTCCTCCAGTTATTCTGTGAAACATTGAGAGGGTTCTGATTTCAGGCAGAGACTCAGTTTACACAGTTTACAATGTTACTTGATAATTTAGCTGGGAAAAGATGCATGTGTGTGTTTTGTATGTGTGTTTGTGTGTGTTTGTGCTCAAGCATGTGTGCAAGTATATGTGCTACTTCTATGACATCCTTACCTGTCAGAGTATCTATCAAATTCAAGCATCTTCAAATTCTCCAATTCTCTCGTCTAGAAGGAAAATTCTTGATAACGCACTCTCAGATTTTCGATAATGCACTCTCAGATACTTGATGCTGCACTCTCAGATTTTGCTGTCTCAGGATCGCTAATCTTGGGATCTACTAGACTGCCCTCAGGCCAGTAGACCCTCTAGTAGAACCCAGAAACACCCAGGTGTATGACTCACTTTCAGTATCCCCAGGCCCAAGAACACAAGAATATTCTTAGCGCTATTTAGCTCCAGATACACCATCTACCAAAATGCTCATTAGCACCGACTTCAGTGTCACTGAGCAGCTTTTTTTTCAGCCAAGTCTGGTTGGTCCTGGGAGACCTGGGGGCATCTGTCCCCCAGAGGAGAGCTCTCAGATGTGGATCTCGGGAGTGTGACTCTCAATCTTTGGCTGGAATGCAGTGCATTTCCACCTGTCCAGCAAGTGTCCTGGGAACCTCCACCTCTGCACTGGACAGTTCTGTTCCCATGCTGTGTCCTAGGAAAAAAGGAGAATGAAGACAAAATCAAGGAATGTTGTAATATAACTGTTTCTGATCTGATTTCCATAAACAGAGAAATCCTAATATGAAGGATGCCCTCCAAAAACAAAAAGTCTCAAATGAAGCAGTCTATATTAAGTTCATTTGCCATTATGGTTCATACATACTGTCTGCTAACAAAGATATTCTACCTCTAATATATGTACTAATACTAATTAATTTATCTTGAACATTTTCAGTACATGATCACAAGTAATTAAACAAGCATGGGATGTGGGAAAGATTGCTATGCCCATTTTACAGGCAGGCATTATCCTTCAGTGAGAATAATGACTTTAGTAAGGTCCATAAAACTATTAAATAGAAGGAAGGAAATTTTTTCCCATGCCTGCATGTCTCTTGAGACCATTTTTTAGTCACTATAATTCCAGTGTTATTATAGGTTCTTAGGGTCATAAACTTGACAAAGACAAACTTTCAAAAGCTTGCATTTCTTTTTTTGCACATAATATTATATATTTCTTTTAGTCTATTTGGGGGGATTGTTTTGGTTTTGGTTGTGGACATCAAACCCATGGTCTTGTATATGCTAGGTAAGTGTTCCACCAATAAACTGCAACCTCAGCCTGTCTTACAGGACTTTTATTTGCACACAATTATTTCTCAAGTGTCTTTTTGTAAATTCATCACTTTTTAATGCAAGTGTTTTCTTTTATTTTAGATATTTCTTTCTGTCACAGTCATTTTATCACATGTAGCCTTTGTTTTTAAATGATACTGAAGGTCGAATCCAGGACCTTACACTCACTAGTCAAGTGCTCTACCATTGAGTTATACCCAGCCCTTTTGCTTCATTTTGAAGCAGGATTTCGTTAAGTTGCCTCAAACCTGCAAGCCTTTTGCCTCAGCCTCCTGAGTAGCTGCAGCTACAACATGCAGTACCATCCTCAGTTACATACACAATTTAAAAACTCTTTTGTAGTCATGGTTGACAAATTGTTTGCTTTGTGACTTTTCCCCATAATTTTATCCTCAAAGGTAATTTCCCTCCATAGATTGTGGTAATTTTTTAAAGAAATAGTTGTTTCTTCTAGAATAGCTAAATATTCCATTTATATCTTTAACATGCTGTAATCATGTTCTCATATATTGGGATGGAAGAATCTGGCTACACCTGTCATTTTGACACACTGCTGTCTAAAGCAGTGCTCTCTATTAATAACTGATGCATTCTCCATTTGTCTGTTAGCCTGAGCAACTGTAGGCAGTCTTTCCCCAGCCCTGGGGCAGCTCACAGCAAGGCAACAGGATTCTGAAAGTGAACACTTTGAGAGAAAATGTTTGAATAGACAAAAGTGAGAAGAGCATGACTTTATAAACTTTGAACTAGCTAGCAGAAATCCTAGAGTCTCACATTTACTATCTTTCTAAGTCAAACAAATCACTAAGTTCAAGCTGGGACTGAGGGAGGGAAATTAAGCTCAATTATCCAATAGGAACACTAGCAAATTATTTTCGGCTCTATTTAATTTACCATGGACTTCATTCCTCCTACAAGATATTTTCCTTTTTTCCATATTCAACATATAATCACTCCTTCCGAAGAGCTTCACAATCTCATCCTATCGCAACATCAAGAAATGAGGTCTGGTTGAAAGTATTGTCTCAGATAGAGCTTCTACAGTGCTCTTCTTTTGTTCCTTTTGACCTAAAGTTCTGAGAATATAAGGATACCTCCTATGCGATCAATATAAAGGGGACATATTGTTGACGTGGGATGACTACAACCAATATTTCCAGTTCTCAGGATGAGGCTGGCAGTTAGACAGGCTTAATGAACAGGAACCACAAAACTATGTTTAATTTGCTCTTATTGCTGCTATTGCACTCAGACTCATGGAAGTGTTTTTTTTTTTTTTTTCCAGTTTCAGTTATCTATTTGAACCTGATGGAAAATAGGCATTGGAAATTTCCTAAATAGCTAATAAACTCTTTCATAGTAGATCAATGTAAGAGATTCAAATATCTCTATTCTAGCTATAAAGAATGATAAATTTGTGTCATTCATTGAAAGAAGGATGAAACATGACACCATAATACTACATGGAATGTATCAGACACAGAAAGCTAAATATCAATGGTTTCTTTAATATGAGAAAACCAAAATATAATTTAAAGAGTTAAATAAAAGTCCACAGTAGCAAAGAGGGAGGTAGATTCTGTGGAGCTAGGAAGAAAATCCACTGAAGGGAAGAGAGAGAAAGACAAAGGAAAAAGAGAGGTAAACATGATCAAGATGAGATAGGTATGACTATCCAAGATGACTTTCACTATTACGCATTGCAAATCCATACTAATTTCACAAAAGTTCTCTATGTAAGTCTGCCATTATATCTTCTCTACTTGAAATTCTCTACTCAAGTATTTTGTGGTAGTATCTCTTGCTAGGTCTATCCTTTGTTTTTTTCCTTCTTTGAAAACACTTTTCATCCTCTATACGGATATGGTTCTAGAAATCACTGTGTATCTCTAAGGCAAGAATGCAGTGCTTCCAGAAAGCTGGGGCAACCTCTCCCTATGTCATCTAGGATGATAAATCCCCGCTACTTACCTCTGATGCCTCCTCATCTGCTGTGTCACTCAACAGTATGGGCTTGCTTGAACATGCTAAACACAATACACCAAAAGTACAAACTGCCAGCCTGCAACTGTTCCACTCAAGCTTTTATGCTTTTCACCATCCTGGATACTGGGCAGGAAGTTGGAGGAGAGCTCAGCTTATTCCCAACATCCTTTGTGATGGGATTAATTGGCAAGAGAATTCAGGATCAAAAATAATCAATACAAGTAGCAATCAACCAGAAGCAAATCTCAGGTTGCTTACTCAAAATTACAAACGTACATTAGAACAGACAAAGGGAGTGAGAGAAGCAGGCAAGGGTTCCAGATGAGGAGCCCAGGAAATTAACAACGACTGCATAGACCAGGCAAGGAGAGGCTGCAGCTGTCAGGTAGGTTCATCATCTGGAAGAGAGATGACCAGACAGGGGTCTGTCTGCACTGAATATTGGAGATAACCTGGGATAGCTCATGGTACCAGATATGGTTTGCACTGTGACTCACATAACCAGGTTTTCAGGAATTTTGCACTGTTTTACACTGACATTTTGAAGCCTGAACTGATGGAAGCGAGGAGCTGCCTCTTCATCCA